TTTTTAAGGGCGGCCATTTATATGCTCGCACGCAGGCGGCCACATAACCAGGCACGGCCCTGCCAATTATTACTATTTACCGCACGGCACAGCTTTAGCCAATGCCTTATTAAATGACATAGAGAAAAGATTTGGACCACTCGTGAATGATGAACAGTGCCAACATGTTCAAAAGACTTGTTCAACGATGCTGCATTTCTCGGGGAACAGATATTCATAAATCAATTTATTAAATACAATACTGCTATACCCTCAAGCGCTGCAGTTGAACGTTTGTTTTCCACGGGTAAAGACATTTTGACACCAAAACGAGCCTCGCTTTCAGACGAGAACTTCAACATGTTAATGTTCATGAAGAGAAATATGCACCTAATACCCGACGCTTAACCCGTCGCGCGTTTCCTATTTTTCGCAAAAAAACTCTTTCCCTTTATTTAGAAAAAAATTCTTGTAAAAACAATATGCAATCATAAAAACAGAAAGTTGACCAATAGCGTTATTATCACGGTGTGTGCATAAAGCGCGTCGCGCCATTAAGGGGTTGAATTACACATTTGAATTATACAAGTATTTTGTTTTATTCATAACTTGTTAACTTCCAGAACCTAAACCAATAAGTTTTTTAAGTTCACTAACGCAACGATATAAAAATGTAATTTTACACATATTAACGGATTAACGATTAACGTTAACTTGCGTTAATTATTCCGAAATGTAACGCTTTAACGTTTAACGAAGCTAACTTTTTTTGTAGCGGATTAACGATTAACGAAGTTAACTTTTTGATTAACGGTGCCCAGCTATGTGAATATACAATCAAATCGAAATATAAATCAACAAATACACTGCAATACACCGGTTTATATATAATAGATATCACATCTAATCTACTGGAATAACTTCTACACTTTTTTCTACTTATTAATATACATATTTATTAAAATTTAGTGAATAATGCATATAGTGTTAGTTCATTACATCGTCTGTCATTCTTAACTCTCATTAACTAATAATCATCCCGTGCAAAATTTGACATTCTTAAGCAATTCATTTTCTCCCAAGTATATTTAGATCCGTGTGAAATGGTAATCCAATTTTAAACAGCTGGAACAGCTTTTTATTGAAGTAAAACTTCTTTAGGCGCGATATGGGTGTAAAAATTTTTAGGCGCGACACGGGTGTAAATCCGTACAAATGCAACGAAAATGCCAACGTGTAGTTGAACACTACGACGCCGTAAGCGCTGATGTCGCGAGTATCCACTCCCGTCATTTGAATCACGTTTTTTTTACAAAAGAAGAGGTTGCTGTATTATGTCCTCATGGAATAAGACTTTTCTTAGAGAATAAATGTGCCATGGAATATAATAAATTTATATTGAATCTCGTTGAAGACAAAATAATATCTACTGCCACGGATATTTATGTAGGTTGCCATGCGACAGATCAACAATCATACATTCGTCAGCAGTTTCAAAAAAATCGGTTATTGATACCGGGGCTTTGCCGTATGAAAAAAAGAGTGCGCGTAAGGATCACACGCGATTGAAGTAAAACTTTTAATATTGTATGAGTAGGCAATTAAGATAAAAATAAAAAACATCATATTTAAATTTTAAAAATCATTTATTAATAATCACATAACATCAATAACACAGTTTAAAACAACAGCGATAGATTAATTGCTATCATATTTCATATATGATATAATAGGTTTGTGATAACTGAAATGAGAGACATAAATTTTGCTTTGTAAACTATGTACATTTCTGGAGAAAACTGCATCAATAGTCGTGCCATATCTTGTGGTTGATTCAAATGAAGAATTATTCATTGTTAAATTAAATTTATTATTTAAGAAATCAATTAATGGTTGAGATTCTTCTGAACAAAAATTGACATTGAAATCTCCAGCAAGAATTAATGGTATCTCGTTGTGATTAGTGTTTAAAAGTTTTGCACCCTCATTAGAAAAATGAAGTAACTGCTGCTGAAGAAATTTAATAATATTTGATATGTTTTTATTGGAAGAAATGTAAAGGACGACTATAATTAATGTTTGATTCTGAGTGTTCACACAGCGGACAACTGCAATATCACCTACTTGTGCAATTTCATTAGGAATATCTAGTAATATTGTTGGCGCAATAAACTGCATAGGAGTGGCATTATGAAGAGAATCTGAACATGAATGATAGACAGCTACACCACCTGCTCTTGAGTTTGATCGTTTATTGTATTGAGTAACGCAGTAATAGTTCTGAATATCAATTCGTTCTTCATTATTAATCCAAGTTTCCGAAAATAACAAAAACGTACAACGTTGTAGCACTTTATCTTGCAGATCGGGCAAATGAGCTCGTAAACTTTGGCAGTTAAAGGAAAACAATGAAATGTCGTTCAAACTTATTATCTCACTCAATTTTTCTTCTTGTGTTATTAATCTACAAGTTGAAAGTCTTTGGAACTCAGTTTGTAAGTCCATTAATTCTGCTGGCCGTTTTCTTCCATGATAAAATTTTTTATCGTTGTTTTAGAAATGATGAACAATCCATTAATGCTGGTAACTCGTGATAATGCAACAAATAGAAGCTGCTGATTATGTGTTTTATTGTATTCATATACAATTTCATCAAAAGTACCACCTTATGATTTGTGTATTGTGAGTGCACAAGCAGACACTAAAGGAAAATGATTTCTTTTGGCAAATATGATTTTATTTCTATTCATTGGAATAGATGAAGATCTCCTGAGAATCGGCACAGCGTGACGATAATGATGAACTTCTACGTTTATGGTTTGAATTTCCCGGTAAGATAGGTAACAAAATTAGGAAGAAAGCTTCACATCGTATTCAAACTCTTAATATCAGTAGGACAGCTGTGCCGATGCTCAGGAGATCTTATTATTATTGATGTTATATGATTATTAAAAGATGATTTTTAAAATTCAAATATGATGTTTTTTTATTTTTAACTTAATTGCCTACTCATACAATATTAAAAGTTTTACTTCAATCGCGTGTGATCCTTACGCGCACTCTTTTTTTGTGTATTATGTCTTTCTTGTAGAAGCGCATACTTGATTTCTTACACAATTTCCAAGAACTGACCTCTTTCCTTAAAGTGTATTATGATTAGACTCATATGTCAATGCACTATGTAGTAATGTAGTAATTATGTCCTCCATATGAGTTTGAGAATATTGTCTAAGGGCTATGCATTTGAGAGCAATTCTTGATGAAATCTTTAATAACAAACATACAAACACAAACGAACAAGAATCGCCATTTTGTAAACTGACACAAAAATAACACTGACGTTTCTTAGGAACCAACATAATACATATGAAAATACTTTTTCATCGGCTCACTAGCGCCAAATCTGCGACTACAAATGGACCCCTAAGTATTCCTTCTGAACGAGGATTTTGTTCTAAGTGAAAAGGCCCTGGTCGTAGTGTAGCTAGCGTAGAGAACATACATATAGACTTAGTGTAATTATAGCGAATAAAGTTTTTTTTTTTTTTTTTTTTTTTTTTTTTTTTTTTAATAATTTTTACAACTGTCCTGAAGCGGACAACAAGTAAAATTTTTGACATGAAACTGAAGGCGTTGGCAAAATACAAATCATCTGACCATTGCCAGTGAATTGTCGAAGGTCTTATCTATTGTTGATTAATGCAGAAGAAATTTTCTTTTTAATCGGGCCCTGGTAGGGTTGTTCTGAAGTTTTCTCGCGAGCAAGTTTGGATGTTCAGCTAGGCGATTTCTATATTTGTGTGAGTAAGCGATTATTTCATCCTTAACTGTGCTAGTGCCTGTGTCTTTGTGTATTAACCAATTTGGAACATATTTTGGTGCTTTCAAAATTTCTTTTAATAACTTGTTTTGAAATCTTTGAATTATTAAGGCGTTTGAGTTGGAAGTTGATCCCCATAGCTGTATGCCGTATGTCCAAATTGGTTTAATGATGGCTTTATAGAGGTAAATTTTATTATGAGTGTCAAGTTTTGATTTTCGTCCAAGGAGCCAATGATATCTTCTTCTGGTTTCTTCTAGCTGCTTTCTCTTTTTCTTAATGTGTTCTTTCCAGGTTAGTCTCTTATCCAGGTGTAAACCTAGATATTTAACTGTGTCTGTTTGATCTATAATTTCGTCATTAAGTCTTACTGCAGGACAAGTCCCTTTGCAAAGAGTGAAAGTTAGTTCTTCCATCGATTTCCGACGTTATTTTAAAAAAATGTAATTACACAATTGAGAGGGGGTGTCATCCCCTCGGGGGGTGATGGCGCAATCCGAATTGTTTTCACTTTTGAACTTGAGGGTTAGATGAACCTAATTCCAAAATTTCATTCAATTCGGAGCACAGTAAAAAAATTCAGACATAAAACGCTCCGTTTACTGCACTATTTCTACGTTTTATAAATATTATCTATAAAATATGAATTAGTCGAAGTTGGTTATTAAACAAACTAAATAAATTAAAAATTGAGTACCACAAAAGGGCCTCATCGGATGATTTTGCCACGGGCCCCGGAGGGTCTAGTTACGCCACTGGCCCAACCCATGCCCAACCAATATCTTTCGAACGGTTCATGAATTTTCAAAATCGATGATGAGCTAAAACGTGGACGAAAATAATTTGACACTTTTTTGCTAATTACATAGTGAGAGCTCAGCTGATCATCGCACAAAATATGTATATAACCCTATCGCACAAAATATATATATATAACCTTACTTTATGCGAGATACATAGAATAGGTGTTTTTGAGAATTCGTCGTCAAAATGTCAAAAATCGACCGCACGCATACTTTTTCCAAATTCGGTCCCGGCTTTAAACTTGGAGAAAACATAAAATTAGAAAAATGATAATTATAAAGTGTGGACAGTATAGTCTATTTTCCAAGTGTCTTATATGCTCTATGGCGCCATTTTAATATAACCTTTAGAGTGTGCTTCATTATTCAATGCAATTCAATGTTTTATACAAAGTGATATAGTGCTCGTAGTGTTGTCTTTAAACATTGATTGTATTTCGTGTAATTTTATATTATGATAGGTAAATATTAAAAGTGAAGTTAATTCAAAATTTATATTGTACATTTACAGCGCATTCAAAAATAAATTTAGATCATTGAAATATACAGTGTCATTCGTGTTTGTTATTATGGTTTATTAAAAGTTTATCATTTTCAAGTCTTTTAATATTATTTTACGTAAATTCAAATTAGTGATGAAAAATAATATTTGATTCATATTATTAGGTAAAACTTGTATTAAAATGTCATATCTTGAGCTAGCAACTTATTTGTTTGGTTAAAATAAAGTTGACATGTATGTTCCATCGTTATGTTAATATTAAAAATGTGAAATATAGTTAGCAGCATAATTATTGAAATATGGAAAAGTAACATTGGGGATATAAAAACAAACAAACATCAATATGTCTGCTATGGTGAATTAATATCTAAACAGTTAGATGGTATCCCAATCATATTTCACTCTTTGAGGATAGGTATAATTTTCATGATTAATATATGCCACTTTATAATTATGCATATATTGTAATGTCATGTCTAATTTAATTTACAGATAATAAACAAGGTAATGGATAATACGAATGTCATAGAAAAATCTTTGCCAATGACTTCAGCTATTTTACAAGATAAATTAAAACCTGGATTGAATTTCAATGGCCATGACTTAAATTTGGTTAAAATAAATGGGAGTGAACATGACAACAAGACAAATGTTGTACATACAGATAATAGCTTGTCTATTGAGATTTGCACTGAAGCCTTGGATAATAAAACAAAATTAGTTTGCCTTCCTGAAGTAGGACTGAAAAATAATTTGAAGAGACCCCATGTTACAGATTGTGATGATAAAGCTGTGGACGATGCTGAATACAAAAATGATCCTAAAAAACGTACTGTAAAACCATCTATTAATTTATTAGATAAACATCAATGTGACACAAGAATGAAGAAAATTTCACCTATTGATAGTTTAATTTTGTCAAAATTACAAGATGATCCTAATACAATGGATGCAGAAACCATTGCTGCAATAGGTAATGAAGCAAATGTCAATAATTTTAAAGTGCTACGAGATAATCATGATCAACTTAAGAAAATTACTAAAAACTCTAATGGTGAAAAACAATTGGAATATGCCCAATATTTAGGTTTGCAACCATCTGTGAAATTTAAATGCTTTAGATGTTCTGAAAATTCATTCCCAAACTACAACAGTTTAAAGGAACATCAAAAAAAATGTCTTCTAGAAAGAAAAATTGTACTGCAGTCACCAGTTCAAAGTTCAAGCCAGGCTCAGTCAACTAATTTTCGAATTACTCGTAAAGTGTATTTATGTTCAGCTTGTGGAACATATTATGAAAATTGGAATCTGTTTCTTCATATGCAAACTGTTCACAAAAGATATATTTGTCTTTTTTGCTTAGGAATGTTTTCTTATGCAGAGAAGCTTTCTTCTCATCTTGAAAGTAAGCATAATGTCATAGAAAAAAAAATTTCTGGAGATGATGAACTGATGAAAGTATACAATGGATCCTGCTTTTTTATGTGTTGCACTTGTGAGCATGTCTTTACAGAAAGGGATAGTATTTCTGAACACTGCTGCAGTGATTATCAGAAGCCCTGTGTATTTTGTGGTTTAGTGGGAAACCATAAAAAAAATTGTAAAGGTGCTTTAAAACAAAAGACTAGTAGCAATACAAAGAATAATACAATTTCATCAAAATTGTGTAAACTTCAAAAACAAAAACTACGATCTAAATTGGGCCAGGAAGTTCATATTACAGGCGATAGCATGCCACCAACTGTTGCCGACTCTGCAGTAACTTTTGATGAACCGAACTTTAGTCCAGCTGCTTTATGTGTTGTTGATATGGATGGAAATAAAGATAATGTGGAGAAGGAAGAAAATATATTGTCCGAAGAAAAATTTTCTAATGGCATTAAGAATATTAATACTTGTGATAATAATGTGATCACTGTTAATAAAGATGATGGATTATTAACTGATGATGATAAGAGAAATTGCTTTAATCATGATGTTGATATATCAGAAGTGAATGAAAAGGATCATGAAATTAATATTTTGCAATCAGATGGGAATGTTTCTGTTGAAAACTCGACGAACATGTTGAAAGAACAATATGTGAATTTACAAGGAACTGGAAATGAGTTTTATACCAATAATAATTCAAGTTCTGTAGATTCTATTATGGAAGATATATCTAATGTGAATGTGGATAATACAAAATTAGTCAACGATACTGAAGATGTTATGAAATCATCTGAAGAAAAATCTAATGGATCTATTGATGATAATTTATTAAATGAAAATAACAGTAATGATAATGTGCAGGTATATGATTCATTAAAAACTACCATCAAAATTCCAAAATTGACTGTGAAATTGCCACGAGGTTTTACTGATATAGAATTAAATACTTCTTCAAATTCTGATAGCGAGAATGAAAATTTAACAATCAAGGCAACAGGTAATAATGTACATGGTAGCACCTCTTGTGGTAATGATGATAAATCTGATGAAAAACTTACTGATAAAGAAGATGATCTTAATGAAAATAATGATGGTGAACAAATTGATTCTGAAAATAATGAAAATACTTATATAACAAATGATAAATTAGATGTGAGCACGAAGCTTAATGCCAATAAAGAAAATGATAAGCAGCTCTCAACAGCTGACAACAGTGACAATTTAATAATTGCTGGAGAAGATGTTACGATTTTTGAAGTTACATTGGATCAACCATTACACAAATTGCCTGTAGTAGATCTGATGAAAAAATGTTTAAGTATTACTGTACATTCATGTTTATTTTGCAATCATGTACGAAAAATAGCCATAAATGGAAAACAAATAGGAATCCATTTAATGGCACAGCATAGATTTCGAGCTATTGTAGAAAGTATAACTGCAGAAGAACTGTTACCTGAAACAATTGTAGCACGCATTACACAAAGTTTATCGGAATTAGAAAAAGTGTACTTTAATCTGGAAAATTATGATAGTACTGATAAAACTCTATTTGTACCTTATGATGGTTTTCATGAATGTTTTAGATGCAGATTTATAACATCCATTCATAAAGAATTATATTTGCATAATCGAAAGTGTCATCAGAAAGCAATTGTTCTGTGCACTATGTGCAAAAGTACATTCTATACATATAGTGAATTGTTATGTCATTTATGTCCAGGTACGTATGAACATACTGAAATGCGTGAACTTATATATAGATGCTGTTTGTGCGACTTGGATAATTTGCCATCTGCATTTCGCCTTATGGTTCATTTGCGTAAAAGGCATCATACTTGTGATGTATGTTTAGAATCCTGCACCGACCAATCTAGACTTTCAAATCATGTCTGGAAGCATAAACTTCAACATTTGTGTTATCGCTGTGGTATATCTTATCGAAACAAGCCTGATATCACCAAGCATTTATTTTGGAAACATGGTACAGAAAGCGTTTTATGTAAAAGATGTCTACAAAAAAAATGGCCTCACGTTTATCATTTTTGCATTTTACCAAGCTCATTTGTGTGTGAGGAATGCGGTTTAAGTTTTACAAAAGCAGTAGCCCTGAAGGTTCATAAGAGATTGCATAATGACTATCGTCCTTATTCATGTGCTGAATGTGATAAAAAATTTGTTTCTAAAAAGCTGCTTGTGAAACATTCTAAATTGCATATTGCACCTCTGTTGACTAACATTAGTAGCATTAACAATGATGGAGTTCTTAATGAATCAAAAGAATTTATCTCAAATAATTCATGTTCGATCACTTCTGAAAATTGTGATAATTATTCACAAAAAGCAAGAAAAAATAAAAAAAGTCATAAAGAAAGTTTAGAAGATGTTGTTGCTGATTTGCCAGCATTGAATTTATCAGAAAGTGATAGTAGTGATGAATCTGAAATGGAAAATAAAAATAGTACGGAGTCAAAAATATATGAATCAAAAAGTATTATGCAAATGGAGATTGGCGAAGAAGAAGTCAACCCAGTCCCAGTCATGTTGGATATATGGGATAATTTTAAAACATATCAAGCAAGTATTGATAAAACTGAAAATTCATATGGTGATAATGTTGATGAATTGAATACAGTCCCAATTTTGCATGTATGTCAATCAGATCATGATTATTGTGACTTTGATGATATTATACAAAAGTCAAAAGGACCTCATATTGACTTTAGCAATAGTGTGTTAAAACCTTCTCCTAAAAAAATCAAGACACCAAAGCGAAGAAATCGTAATTCATCTTCATCAAGTAATAGTTCAGTTACTAGTTCAAGTTGTTCTTGTGGTGAAAATTGCAGTTGTAGTAGTTCATCAGGAAGTTCTTCTAATTCTTCAGGTTCTAGTTCTGAAAGCGAAAGTTCAAGTTCAGAAGGCAATAATAAGAGAACAAAAACCAAAAAAGAACTTCTCACTACACAAGTATCAGATATTAAAGATATTGATGATGAAAAAATGTTAGAATCAATATCTGAAGATAATCATAGTAAATCTCAAGAATTACCAATATTTGAAAGTGATCTAGATACAGATGAAAGTGAAACTGATGAAGATTTTTATGATGAATATCCACAACGGCTTGCTAATAAATTGATGGCAGAAAAAAGGAATCAACTAATTTTATTAGCTTCTTTAGGCTCGTCTAATGATGGTAGTAGTGGTGGTACTGCAGATTTAAGTCGTACTTCTACCCCCAGCTTACCTCCTGATGAAAAGCTTGTTGTGAAAAAAGTTAAATCTAAAAAACGCAAAAAGGATAAGAGAAATAGAATTTGTGATTCTGCTGCACCAGCAATGGTTAATATACCAATTATTCCACCTATATCTTTAAAAATTAACATTCCAAAGAATCCTGAAATCATGAATCAAAATTCAGAACATCCTGTTAAAATAGTTGTTTCAAGACCTGTAACACCAAAAATAGATTTAAAGCCAATACCTTCTGCAGTACAAGCAATACCACCTCTTGTTGTTAAGACTCAAGTGGGAAATTTACTACGAGAAACTGACGACAACAAGCGAGCCAGCAAACGAAGACGTATTCCAAATAAATTTTATGGATATTCAAGTGATGAAGAGACTGGAATGCTAAAGCCGCAAGCTCCTCCTCAACTTACTTGGCATAAAGAAGACTTACCAGAGCAGCCGCCTAAAATAGTAGAACCTCCACCAAGGGTTCCACCGTTGCCTGTTCATCAGATTTTAGCTCAACAACAAATATCTGTAATGAAACCATTGAGTGATTTAAGTGATAATGCTAAGAGCAGTCCAAGTGATGAATCATCTAGTGATGAAGGAACTTTACATATAAGTCAGCCAACAGTTTCCTCCAATATTCCAGGCACAACAATTTCTTCAGCTAGCATAAGACAAGCAAAAGAGGGAGAAAGTGTCTATTGCTACTGCCGTTGCCCATATGATGAAGTTTCTGAAATGATTGCCTGCGATGGTGCAACATGCAGCATTGAGTGGTTTCATTTTGAATGTGTTGGTATAATGGTTCCTCCTAAAGGTAAATGGTACTGTCCAGAATGCAGGCAGAAACACCCGCAACAAGATGATTTTTGTTAAATTTACTGTATATTATGTCTAAATATACATATATATATATATATATATATATATATATATATATATATATATATATTTACATATACTATAATACATATTTTAGTTTTTTTGAATAGCTCAAGTAATGAAGTTTTATCATATATGCATATTTTTAATATGTAGTTATTTTAAAAAATAGATATAACAAAATATGCTAATAAATCAGCATATGTTTTATCATAGAAGTGAAAAAATTAATATTAATTCAATTACAATTTCATTGTAAATTTTCTAGCTCATAAGACACTTTATTGCAACATTAAGCTTACATTATAGTGTTAAGAATATGAAAAAATACCAACTTACATTAAAAAATATTTTTTTGAATAAAAACTAGTACCTAATTTTATTTTATAAATTGTTAATTAATTAAATAAATATAATATAATATGTCATATGTCATAATATATTTTAGCTCTGGTATTACTACATAAAATTCACCATTTGAATGTAAAGCTTCCATTTACAAAGATGAGTTATTTTGGTTGTATATCTTATTAAAAACTTTTCATATTTGTTCCTTACCTGAAAATATTTGTTAACAATTTAAATTTTTAGTGAAATCATTATATTAACGATGTAAATGTATAAAGTATAATCTACAAAATTAGTCAAGATTATTTATTTTATCTGTAATAACAGCTTTCATAAAATATATTTTAAAGTTATATTAAATTATGTGATATTTATAATATTATAATGTTATATTCAATTATGATATAGTATGTATAGAACACTCAATGCAAACTTTGAGCTCATCGTCTAATTAGACTTTAACACTTAAGGTCTATATTATGGTATTAATAATTAAGGTACTATATTACGGGATGTTAAGAAACATTCGACTTTAAGGATGATTTGTAAGAAAACTAGGAAAGTGAACGTGAGCTAAAACTGTTCTATTCCATAGATTAGACTTATAAGATCATTACATAACAAAATTTTGCGACGTAGAACTTTATTTATAGAAATAATTGGCATTTTGCTGAAGCACGGATTTGTTCTTAATGCCGGGATAAGGGCTCGCTCGTAGGTAAGTGGCTAGAACGACTGGACCTGGATCAGGAGTACCGGGTTCGATTCCGCTTCAAAAAGCCTGTTGTCAAGCAGTAGTGACAACGGTTTTCACTTGGAAATATAGATAGCAATATGTTTCCAAGTGAAAACAGCCCTGATAATTGTAATAATAAAAATTCATCACAGAGATAACTGCTTGGAATTTTGTATCTTTTGAAAGCTTTAAAAACAGCTGATATACTACATTGCGAATTCTTTTAAAGCCTTTTTTAGGTTTTGGGTAAATATTTATTTGTAGCCATTGTTCTTTGAAAAACTGATAAAACTATTTGAAATCATACGTCGCATTAATATTTACTGATATTGATTATAATTTTGATAAATTATAATAAACTTGATTAGGCTATTAGAAGGCTACAGCATTCAAGAGTAACGTTAATATTTCAAAAAATAATTGCTTTAATCGAATCAAAACTGCACACATATATAAATACCAGCGCTCTATAAATACCGTGCGCAACGGGGTTTACCTGCATTTTTTTTTTTTTATAAATTTTATATAACAAATAATTTATCATAGTTGAAAAGGTAGAAACGAATACTTTCTTACATAAGAGTAGTCATTTTAAATTTAATTATTAGGGTTAAAAATTAGTAATTTCCCAGTAAATCACAAGAGTTAAAACCACATAACAAATTTTGTAACTTTCGTTACGAAACTAATGTCAAGTAAAAAAATTATGCTGTTACCTTTAATTATGAGGAGTATCATTATACAGTGATGGTTTCACACCGTTTGACACATGTTTGACATCGCTCAGCATACTCAGTATACCTAAAATGAGGTGTGAAGTTTGCTGCATTATATGTCAGAAGTGTTTCACTTTTGCTGCATGCTCAATGGGGTTTTAGCGTTATTATGTTTTATTTGTGGTTATTTGTTCCCTCTCCTCCAGTTCATCCATTCTTTTTGCGGCGTGTTTTTGGTTGTTTCTTCTTTTACTATTTTGTTTTTATTATTTTGTGAACTATTCATATTTTTTTAGTATACTTTTTAGTTAATCGTGTGTTCGCCGTAATTATCATATAAAATATTTATTTGTTTAGATTATGTTTTCATTACTTTTTACTTGCTTTATAGGTTAAGGTATTTTTCAATAGCAATGATTTTAATACGTTTTTAGTTACATTGTTTACTAGATTCTATTCTTTACATAAGTTATCTTTTAATAATAGGTTACGTTGCGTTAGGTTTACATGAATTGTCTTTTAATAATAGATTATGCTAGGTTAGGTCACTTTTTTCATTCAACGAGAAAGTGCAGAAGCAATGTAATCATTGCTTCAAAACTTTTTAGTGCAATTGTTCACTTTCTCGGCACAACAGATTGGTACATGGCAAACAGCCTAAACAGTTTTACAAAAATTTTAAATGCATATTTTGCCCAAAGATATTACGTACTATTTTCTCATTGCAAAGGTACATCAAAACCTTTCATACCTCAATTCCTAATATATCTTCGATAGACTTCATTATCCACTGCACATTTTCCAATAATTTCAGAATTAATCCGAGAACATCCCTTGCATATCATTCTTATGCTCTGCCTTCTTCACTAATTCCTTCAACATTATTTCATACATATACTTTTTGTTCTTCACCTATTCCTTCAACATTCTATTATTCATCGCCCACATTCTTACAAACAACCCCGACGAGACCCAGACCACAGAACATTTTATTGTACAGCTGCACTCTCAACTACTAGTTTTTACAGGTATTGAAATATAAATATAATTTAGAATTACATCCACAAAAATTACAATAATTGTTAATTTATAGGTTCTTCAGGGGCTCTTCAAATTACCTGTCCCATTGTGTATTGTGGAAATATTAAATATTGCAATTCATATTACCTTGTTGCAATTTTAATTATAATGGAAAATATTGATGGATATAGATCGAGAATTATAAATCAAAACCATATAGAATGGAGTAATTGCAAATAACAAAATAAATATCAATTATGTAATAAGTGTATAATATTACATTGAATAAGGTTTTAAACATATTGGCAAATATTAAAAAAGTCCTAAGCTTAATCAACTACGATCGCGTTTATATATAAAAACTTGAACTGTTATATTTTATTTAACTTCAATTTCGAGTGCTTTGAATTTTCAATTAGACTGACAGATCTCAAGAATTAAAGTACAACCATTCGGAAATATTGTGCTTTATTTGCTTAAATATATTAAGCCATTACTTAATAACTTCTTTTACTTATCTTATGGAAGTGTGTTTCAAATTGTAAATAATTATATAGCTTTGTCTGTGTCATAACATGCATTCTTTATATCTAATGTCAAATGATTTAAATATCTGAATGATTAAATATGAATGTTATTTGATTGATTGATTGAATGATTAAATATGTTTCTCATTTTTTTTAAAACCATGATGGAAATAGGTTGTAAATAAATGTATATTGATATGTTTTATAATTTTAATAAATTTTTTTATTACAAATCAATAGTTTTATTTGAGTCGATGGCTATGATAGTTTATCAACATATTTTCAATTATAGAAAGTCATATTCATGCTGATCGAAACAATGGTAAAGTTTATATTAATGCAGGTTTAAAGTACACTTATTTTGTTAACAAAAATTAGGTTTAATTATTCGATCATTAAAATTTTTAGTATCTTATTGACCATATGTACTATATAGTATAATAGATAATTTCTAATTCCTACACAAAACTTTATTTGACATCTTATTTAAAGAATTCCACCTTATCGATCAAAAGGAAATTCATTTACACACATATATTAAATATTTGTAGATATATATATATATATATATATATATATATATATATATATATATACAGTAAACCCTCGCTTTACGCGGCAAGTGCGTACCGTGCAGTATGGGAACCGTGCTATAAGAAACTCGTATTTAACATACAATTCAGGCTAATTCGTAGTGCGTTCTATGGAACCTTACATAGTGCAGTATGGGATCCGTGCTATGAGAGATTCACAGTTGGTACAAATCGCACCATTTTTATCGCGCTGTATGGAGACCAAGAAATTCCACTTGAAGTAGGACGAAATGACATGTAGGGCATTGACACGATTGACACCTTATTCAAAAATTGGCGCGACGCAGTAGTCAGCTCAAACGTGTTCTTAGGCGGCTATTATATAAACAGGCATGTCTAAAAGATAAAAGTCAATAACAAAATTTACATCAATACCCTTTTGCACAACGAACTTATGGGCTGTTGACCAAATACAGTAGGCCCTCGCTTTACACGGCACTCTGGGTACACGGTTCCCATACTACACGGAGCTAAAAATCCGACATCCCTCCGACTACACGGACTTCTTATTACACGGTATTTGGTCAACAGCCCATAAGTTCGTTGTGCAAAAGGGTATTGTTGTAAATTTTCCCAGTAAACATGCGATATGGCCACAACATCGTGGCAATATTTTATTTAGGTCGTGTGACATGCGGTTCCCATATTCATTTTCCTCGATATTTAATGGATACGGCCGCAAATTTATGTAACTATCGAACAACTATCGAGGTTCGGTCTCTGGCGCACGTGGCGTTCGTGATACATGAAAATCGACGTTGACCCACATATGTTTGTTTATTATGATAAGACCGTCTGACGTAAGGCGTTCACCCCAGTCATGACGTCATTGACGAATGAAAACGATTCGGTCATGACGTCATACAAAATGGCGACTCAGTTATGACGTAATAGCACCTGAAAGTGATGACGTAATGCAATTAATATTCTTTTCTGTACGAATAAGCATTTATTTACGTGAATAATAAGAAATTTTACAATATTTAAATATTACAAATTAGAATTGTAGTTTTGAAATTATAAAATTTTAACATGAACTATACTAGAAAACTTTTTACAAATTATTCAATCTTAACATATTAATAACAGTATATTTAATGAAAATTGTTGTATATCTAATGAACGTAATTCTATTTTTGGGGCGTGAAGTGTGAAGTTTGCATAAGTATTCTATCGCCACTTCCTTATACATCAAACAGCCTGCCTATTTTTCATTATTTCATTCTATCGCCAGTTCATTGCATCAAATGCCAGGATACAGATTATGCACATATGACATACTGCCCCAAATTTTGGAAGTTTTCTAAAACAAATTCAAACATAATGTGATTTACTGTATATAATATAATATATATATACAGCTACCATATGTGTAGCTACCTACATGTTCAGTGTACAAATCTCCATCATCTTAAAGTCGCTTTTACACATACATTTTTAACACTGACTGATTTCATTCTATCGCCAGTTCAATACATCAAATGCGAGGATACAGGATATTCATATATGATGTACTTCTTGGAAGTTTTCTAAAACAATTTGAAACATAATGTGTTTTATTGAATCTAATAATATATATACCACTCCATATGTGTAGCAACTTACATATTCAGGAGACAAATCTAAATCGTCTTCGAGTCGCTTTTGCACATACATTTTTTTTAACCTGATTGAATTCATTCTATCTTCAGTTCATTATACATCAATACATCAATCAAGTTCATGCATATATGACATACTGTTCCCAATTTTAGAGGTTTTCTAAAACAATTATAAATATAATGTATTTGTTACCAAATAATATATATACAGCAACTATATATGAATCAACTTACATATTAAGAAGATAAATCTCCATTATCTTCAAGTTGCTCCTAAACATACATTATTTGAGCCTGTCTAAAGATCTGTATATTGTTCATCGTTTCATTCCAATTTTGTACGACTTCTGAAATAAATATGAACATGGCATACGTGTTTGCTGTTTATATATATTGTATAGCTATTATATTTGTAGTGACTTACATATTCAAACAATCATTCTCGATCCGCTTCTCAACCGACTAATTTAAGAGATTTAAGAAGTGAGGTTATGTCGAACACATGGATATGTTAATGTCTTAATTTAGTAAAATAATTATTTTAACCTTGCTAAACGATCCTTATTATTGTCCTCAGATTTTGTAAGATATGCTATTTGGTTACCTCCTTTGTCATCTAAAGAAATCGACATAAAATAACGTTTCTTCATCCCAGGATATAATGCACTAAATGGAATTCAAAATCGTGAAGTAATTACATATCTATATAAATAATATATGATATACTTACGGTGTCATTTTTCTACAATTATCATAAACAAGTTGCTTAACTAAACGAATGTAATTATTATACTAAAGAAAATATAACTTGATGCATGATAAATTCGTGACATTTTGCGCCATTTTGTACGCGGTTGTCGCGGTTAGTTTAGCTTTCGTCAAAGAAACAGTCGGTTCCACCAGTGGCCACGGCGCGCTGATGTAAAGCTTTCTTTGTATGCACACAACGCACACAACGCAGCGCACGACGCGTTTGCTTCACGCCGTGTGACGTCATTGATTATGCTTTGCATGTGTGCTAACACACACCAGCGCACGACATGTATCTCACATGAAATTCAACGATGTCATTACCCCCGACAGCGCGTGTATATGTCTCGTGAGACAACTCAATGCGAGCTTTGCGAGTATTGTAACACACACAAGCGCACGCAAGTTTAAAATCCTCTTGTGGCGTAGATTCGATAACCGCATTATAATAACGATGTCGATATTATAGAAGATCACATCGCGTGTTTACTGGGTTGTTATCGACTTTTATCTTTTAGACATGCCTGATTGTATAATAGCCGCCTAAGAACACGTTTGAGCTGATTACTGCGTCGCGCCAATTTTTGAATAAGGTGTCAATTTCGTCACGTCATTTACGTCATTTCGTCCGTATTTCTCCTACTTCAAGTTGTATTTCTTGGTCTCCATACAACGCGATAAAAATGGTGCGATTTGTACCAACTCTGAGTCTCTCATAACACGGTTCCCATACTGCACTATGTAAGGTTCCATAGAACGCACTACGAATTAGCCTGAATTGTATGTTAAATACGAGTTTCTTATAGCACGGTTCCTATACTGCACGGTACGCACTTGCCGCGTAAAGCGAGGGTTTACTGTACCGTGTAATAAGAAGTCCGTGTAGTCGGAGGGATGTCGGATTTTTAGCTCCGTGTAGTATGGGAACCGTGTATCCAGAGTGCCGTGTAAAGCGAGGGCCTACTGTATATATATATATACAGTAAACCCTCGCTTTACGCGGCAAATGCGTACCGTGCAGTATAGGAACCGTGCTATAAGAAACTCGTATTTAACATACAATTCAGGCTAATTCGTAGTGCGTTCTATGGAACCTTACATAGTGCAGTATGGGAACCGTGTTATGAGAGACTCAGAGTTGGTACAAATCGCACCATTTTTATCGCGTTGTATGGAGACCAAGAAATACAACTTGAAGTAGGAGAAATACGGACGAAATGACGTAAATGACGTGACGAAATTGACACCTTATTCAAAAATTGGCGCGACGCAGTAATCAGCTCAAACGTGTTCTTAGGCGGCTATTATACAATCAGGCATGTCTAAAAGATAAAAGTCGATAACAAAATTTACAACAATACCCTTTTGCACAACGAACTTATGGGCTGTTGACCAAATACCGTGTAATAAGAAGTCCGTGTAGTCGGAGGGATGTCGGATTTTTAGCTCCGTGTAGTATGGGAACCGTGTACCCAGAGTGCCGTGTAAAGCGAGGGCCTACTGTATATATATATATTTAATATATGCAATACTTGTAGCTTTATATATATATATATATATTATATATATATATATATATATATATATATATATACAGTACAGGCCAAAAGTTTCCGGACACATGAAAAATCTCATTTTCTGAGTTTTTAGCTATATTTTTCGTATAAAAATAATTTTATTCAAGTTAGTTTTGTACATTCTACGTAGTATTAATATTTAGTGACTGATTTGTAACCAATTTGTGAGAAATGACGGACTAATTAGCAATGAAAATGTTAAAATGTCACAGTCGATTTTCCTGAATATGACCACCCTTTGCTTTGATCGCTGCAGCGCATATTTTTGGTAATCTTTTGACAAGTTTTTGCAATGTTTGCGCAGGTATGTTCTTCCAGGACTCGTTAAGGCAATTCCACAGGGCAGCAAGGCTGGTTGGATGCAAATCCTTCACGCGGCATTTAAGCTCGTCCCACAACAGCTCTATTGGATTAAGATCCGGCGATTGTGCAGGCCACTCAAAAAACCACTTCTGCGAGCAGTAAATAAACAAAAGAGATTGAAATTTGCCAAAACCCACTTAAATTGGACCATCAATCAATGGAAATCAGTTTTATGGACGGATGAGTCAAAATTCGAACTTTTCGGAAGTCATCGACGTAGGAAGGGTAATGAAAGACTCAATTCTAAGTGTATTTCGACAAAGGTAAAGCACGGTGGTGGTTCAGTGATGGCTTGGGGTTGTTTTGGATTCAATGGAGTCGGATCGCTTGTGAAAATACATGGAACTTTAAAGAAAGAAGAGTATCATAGCATACTTGAGCGCCACGCCATTCCATCTGGTTTCAATTTAATTGGTCCAAAATTTATTTTTCAACAAGATAATGACCCTAAACACACTTCCCGACTCTGTGCCAATTATTTGAAGCGAAAACAAGATGAAAAAATACTTCAAATTATGGATCTTAATCCAACAGAACTGTAGTGCATTTGTCTGACTGATTTGCATCCAAGCAGCCTCCCTGCCCTGTGGAATTGCCTTAACGAGTCCTGGAAGAACATACCTGCGCAAACATTGCAAAAACTCGTCGAAAGATTACCAAAAATATGCGCTGCAGTGATCAAAACAAAGGGTGGTCATATTCAGGAAAATCGACTGCAGTGACATTTTAACATTTTCATTACTAATTAGTCTACTATTTCTCACTAATTGGTTACAAATCAGTCACTAAATATTAATACTACGTAGAATGTACAAAACCAACTTGAATAAAATTATTTTTATATGAAAAATATAGCTAAAAACTCAGAAAATGAGATTTTTTTCAAGTGTCCGGAAACTTTTGGCCTGTACTGTATATATATATATATATATATATATATATATATATATATATATTTAATATATGCAATATTTGTAGCCTGATATATATATATATATATATATATATATATATATCAGGGTAGAAGGGTATCGTTATGCAGGGTATCGTAATATACAACTGTTTTATTCGAAAAATGTCTTGTCCTATCAAAATTTGAACAATTATATATATATATATATATATATATATATATTATATATTAATTGTTTAATATGAACAAAACAGCACTCAGATTTGTTTAACACAACTTTATTTTATGATTACAGACGTTTCGAGACCATGGTGTGTCTCATCTTCAGTGTAATTTCAAAAACAGTTACTTATATACTACACATTCTTTAATAATTTATTTAAATTTCATTTAATTTTTGGTATACAAAAAACACCAACTATTCCTTGCAATGCTTGACACAGTACTAAAGAAACATATAACACTTACAGAAATATTCTAAACAAATTTGAAGTACTTATATAGATGGAGACAGAGAGGGTATCATTATAATGTAAACAAAAGGAGTGCTATCGCATACAAAATCGATAAAAATGAAAAAAACAAATTAATTTATTGAAAAGAATAAGATAAATGAAAAAATTTATAAATTATTAATGATGTTTATATAAGTTTCATGTAAAATATTTGTGTCGGTTCTTAGATTTATGCTATTGTTAGTCCGAACTATTAACATTGATTCTGCCATGCTCCGTTTAAATAAGTCTTTCTCATGGAATAAAATTTGGGGATTGTCAAAATCAAACTTATGGTTGTTGATATTAGCATGATCCACAAGTGTACTTTTAAATTTTTTGTTATCTATTTTTTCACATTGTAATTCATGTTGCCTGAGTCTCTTTTCTAAGTTCTGGCAGGTCTGGCCAATATAAGAGCAATTACAATCCAAACAATTTACTTTATAAACTATATCTTTCTTTTTTGTTAATGGAGTTTCATCTTTAATTTTGGAATATAAAAATTTTAATTGTTTTAATGGAGAAAAAGTAATACGAATATTGTGTTTTTTGAAAAGTCTTTTTGATAATTGGTTAAAATTATTGTCAAGATATGGAAAATTAATGAAAAAAGTTTTTTCAGGAACACTTGTTTTGCCAGGCTCTTCCGGTTTCTTATCAAAAGGTTCAAGTAATTTTGCGACTCTATTTTTAATAATTGGACAAATTAACTTATATGGAAAATTATTGCCAAGTAGGATCGTTTTAACTAATTTTATGTTTGTATCATAAAAAGGGGATCAGATAATAAAATAGGTGATCTACAAGATTTAGAATGGTAGAAATTTTTATATTGAGAGGAACATGCGAATTAAAATTAATGTATCTCCCGGACCCAACTATCTTTTCTGTACCAGTCTGTTAAACATACACTGCCTCTATTAATGAGTTTTACGTCAAAAAATGTAACGGCGAATCATTTTCAAGTTCCTGAGTGAATTGTAAAAAAGAATTGTACTCATTGAATTTGTTGAAAACATTATCTATATCTTATTAAGTAATATTAATGTGTCATCGACATATCTGAAATAGACCATAGGTTTGGAAGGTAAAGAATTAAGACATGATTTTCCAAATCTTGTAATACTAAATCCGCCAAAACAGGACTTAATGGGCTGCCCATTGGACAACCTCTCTTCATCGTATAATATTTTTTATTAAAAGTGAAATATGATGCTTTTAAAAGTAATTCTATTCCTGAAATAAAAATTTCCATCGGTAAACAAGTGAATTCAACTATTTGTATCCATCTTTTCTTTATGGCTGTAATAATTAGATCCTATCTATATTTAAAAGTACACTTGTGGATCATGCTAATATCAACAACCATAAGTTTGATTTTGACAATCCCCAAATTTTATTCCATGAGAAAGACTTATTTAAACGGAGCATGGCAGAATCAATGTTAATAGTTCGGACTAACAATAGCATAAATCTAAGAACCGACACAAATATTTTACATGACACTTATATAAACATCATTAATAATTTATAAATTTTTTCATTTATCTTATTCTTTTCAATAAATTAATTTGTTTTTTCATTTTTATCGATTTTGTATGCGATAGCACTCCTTTTGTTTACATTATAATGATACCCTCTCTGTCTC